ACCGCCGCCGAGCCCACCTCCTCCCTCACCACCACCGCCGTCTCCACCACCACCCAGCCCGCCTCCTCCCTCTCCACCACCGCCGTCTCCACCTCCTCCCTCTCCACCTCCTCCAAGCCCGCCTCCACCCAGCCCGCCACCGCCTTCTCCACCACCACCCAGCCTTCCGCCACCCTCTCCAGTGGAGGCCCCCATGCCGGAAGCTTACCAACTGGTCAACATGAAGGTCACAGGTGAGCTGCTGGGTGGCTCACACCTACCTTTGCGAACATTCTAGCAGTTGCGCACTGATTGAGTGGTCTTGGTGCCACTGGCTGTGCCAGCACGCTGCGCATTATCCTGCTCGCGGTTGCATTTCCAAGGCGGAGTCATCTTCGCCTCGCTGACCTGGCACTCTTGCCCCATGCAGGCGCCACGCCAGAGGACTTTGAGGAGCTCTACTTGAATGCATTCAAGACGGTGGGGCTGGCCGTCTCACATTCGCTGCGCTACGCCAGCCTGATGCCTTGGCAAGCGCATCGTGGCATACGGCTGCTGCCGCAAGCACTCCTGCAGGCTGTATCTCTGCCGTGCCCCTCCATGGCTGTGTGCATTGCCCCTGCAGCTCATGAGCGAAATCACCGTCACGCGCGCCAGCTGGATCCTGGTCTATCCATCCATCATTCCAGATTGGACCCCAAATTGGGAGGGTGAGCCGGAGCCCATTCAGCTCGTGATCAACGTCCACGCTCTGGCAGAGGCGCACGAAGACATCGGGGTCTCTGTGCAGGCCGCTGCGGGTGGGAGCGGCGCGCCAGACAGCATGCTGGCGGCATCGCTGTCCGGGCTCAACCCCTCCGCAGGCCAACTCGCGCTTGTGGTCGGCTCAGGTGCGCTGGCTGGCTGGGCAGTGCTGGGCGCAAGCTTGGGAGGCACACGCTTGCAGGCATGCGGCCGACCGGGTTCCTGGTGCGGGCAAGGGGGATTGCAATTGGGTGTCCACACTGGCTGAGCTGCCTTGCCCTACCACCTGTGCAGTCAACTTTGGCGACGAGGCACCCGTTCCGGCCCCCGCTCCTGCCCCCGAGGAGGCCCCCATGCCGGAAGCTTACCAGCTGGTCAACATGAAGGTTGCTGGTGGCACAAGTGAGCTGCTGGGGTGGCTTGCTGGCCGGGGGCAGTGCACCAGCAACACATTGATGCTATGTGTTGCGAGCTGTGGACCCAGCCTGCACTGTCAGCTGGCCCCAAACGCTGTGCACCTCCACTCCAGTTCTGACCTGGCGTGCTTTCCTCCTGCAGCCGGTGAGCCCGAGGACTTCCTCTTCCGATATGGGGACCAGCTCAAGACGGTGCGGCGCCTTCCCTGTACCACCTGGCATGCTTGGGTGGCACTTTCGGCATGCCAGTGCAGAACTGGCCATCCGACCTCCCCAGCAAGCTGTGTACATTCCCCTTTCTCCCTGCTTCAGATCCTGAGCAACCTCGCAGGCATACCCGTCGGCTGGATAGTGCTGGAGGCCGGCATTGGGGCTCAGTCAGTGACGACACCCAACGGGGAGTTTTACCCCATAGTGGTGGTTGTTCAGATGCACGCCCCCGCAGACCAACATGCCAGCATCAGGTCCAGCGTGCAGGTCGCCGCGGGCGTTGGCTTCAGCCCTGGCAGCTACGGAAGCCCCGGCGGGGATCTGGCCGCATCCCTGCGCGGAATGACTCTGCCGGAACCTGAGACCAGCCAGGTCGACCTTGTGATCGGCTCAGGTGCGTGGACCGGGCTGTGCGATGTGTACTGCAGCGTGCGCACAGTGCGGTTGTTGAAGGCACCGCGCAAACGCTTGCAGCCAGCCGGCAGGCTGGCTGCCTTGGCGTGGAGCTTTTGCTACTGGGCAGTGTGCAAGGCCGCCTGAAGCTGGCTCTCCTCACATTCTGAGCATCCTCGCATCGCGCTGCCCCTCCCCGCTCTGCTGCAGTCAACTTTGGCGCTGCAGCGCCCACCCCCGCCCCCGAGCCAGGCGTCGCCTGCGTGTGGGATTTCCGGCAGTTCGGCATCACGGCTGGCTCCTACATCAACACGGCGGGCACCGGCTGCCCCACGCCCACCCCCACCAACCTCAGGCTGCAGAACCCGGCCTTCACGGGCGGCTGCGCCACAAGCAGCCCCGTCGTTCCGGAAGTCAAGATGAACACCAACGGCTTCATGCTGTCGCCCTTTGGGGTGTGCCCAGAGGAGACGTACTATGTCAACCACCAGGCGCCTTCCATCATGGAGCTGGTGGCCACCGGCAACGCCGCCGTCATCCGCTCGCTGGTGATCGCCGACTACTTTGCAGACCCGCCCTTCACCCTGCGCTTTGCGGGCCCCGGCGGCCTCCAGATCGACGTCACGGTGGACAGCGACATCCCCGACGGCACCCACCTCAACCTGCCCCAGCCGCTCGAGCTGCCCGCCGAGGCCACCGGCTACAGCATGGAGTTTGCATATGCGGCGGGATTCCAGCAGGGCTCGTATGTGTTCATCAGCTTCCTGCACGAGGCAGCCGGCCCGCCGCCCTCGCCGCTGCCGCCCAGCCCGCCTCCTCCCTCTCCACCACCGCCCAGCCCGCCGCCGCCCTCGCCCAGCATAGCCACCTATCTGCAGGGTGGCCTGGGTCTTCAAGGTGGGGAGAGTGCCGCAGTGTTTTATGGCATCCACACATTGAGCAGCACAGACAGCTTCTTTGGGGTGGGGGGTGTATGCATGCTGCCTGAACGCTTCCACTCTGTGCTACACGTTGCAGGCAATGAACTCCCGCCAGGCTGGCAGGAGAGTGTCAGCCAGGTGAGATTTAGCGCTGCCAAAGCCAGTGCCCATGCCTGGGCTGGGCTGCTGCGATCGTGCCTGGCTGTCTGGCCGTACCCTGCTTCTTCTCTCGCACCTGCCCCGCGGCTGACCCCTCTGTGCGGCCTGTTCTTATCGCTCAACTGCAGGTCCTGTGCGGGGTCGCGGGCTATGTGCCCTGCAACATCGTGGTCAACGGCGGCTCCGGCAACGGCGGCTCCGGCAACGAACGCCGCCGCTCGCTGCAGCAGCTGGCGGCGCTGGCGCCTGCCACGCGCGCGCTGCTCCAGGAGGGCGTCACCAACGTCGAGTTCAAGATATATGCGCCAGAGGACCAGTTTCCAACCATCCAGGCCAACATAGAGGCCGCTGTCGCCAACGGGCAGCTGTCATCTCTGCTGGAGGCTGAGGGGCTCACGCTGGTGCCTGGATCAGGTATGGCGCAGACCCCCTTTGCTCAAGCGGTGTTGCATATGCTGACAGGCGCCGATTTGCATGCCCCTGACCTACTTCTTATGTCTCCAAGCTTGCAGCCTGACCTGCCCTCCCACCACATGTTGCTGTGCAGTGATGTTTGGGGACCCATTCTTCCATCCACCCCCACCGCCACCTTCGCCTGTGGTCGAAGGCACCTATCTGCAGGGTGGCCTGGGTCTTGAAGGTGGGCAACCAGCACGGGCAAACCGTGTAGTCCACCAAACACAGGATCCTGGGGTATGTCAGTGTGTAGGCATTGCATGATGCGCTGAGAGCTCCCTTCTTTGTGTTGCGCTCTGCTGCAGGCAACCCTGGACAGGGCTGGCAGGGGAATGTCACCGAGGTGCGTGCTAGCGCTGCTTCATTCCAGTCCCATCGTGGCTGCTCTGCCACGTGCCCACACTGGTGCTTCCCATCCCGGCTCCGCCACGTGTCAACCGCTGTGGCCAGCTGCTGAACCATGCTGCCTGTCCTTGGTGCTCACCTGCAGGTCCTCTGCGGCATCGCCGGCCACATCCCATGCCGCATCGTCATCAACGGCGGCTCCGGCAACGGCCGCCGCCGCTCGCTGCTCCAGTGGGCGACGCAGGCGGTTGCCGGGCGCGCGCTGCTCCAGGAGGGCGTCACCAACGTCGAGTTCAAGATCTATGCGCCAGCGGCGCTGTTCCCGACCATCCGGGGCAACATTGAGGCCGCCGTCGCCAGCGGGGAGCTGGCGCAGCTGCTGGCGGCCCGGGGTCTCGCGCTCGTTCCTGGATCAGGTGCGCCCCTGCTTCTGCACCGCGTATGCAATAGCCTGCTGCGCTGGTGTGCAAGCCCGCAAGTTGCCGTGCACGTGTGGGGAAGCTCGGAAGCTTGCGGTCTCATTCACGCGGGTTCTCCCCCTTGCTGTGCAGTTCTGTTTGGAGACCCGTTCTTCAGCCCGCCTCCGCCCAGCCCGCCGCCACCCAGCCCGCCGCCACCTTCGCCTCCCCCGCCGCCGCCCTCGCCACCGCCGCCGCCGCCCTCGCCTCCCCCGCCACCCTCGCCATTGCCGGAGGCTGTGAGGTGCGTGCGTGGCATCCCCTACCCCAAAAGTGGCCGCACCCCAGGGTCTAGTTTCACCACATTGCTGCCGCTGTCCCCCTTCGCCGCCCTTCTAGTCACCCCCCGTTCTTGCACCCCTTCCCGGCCTGCCTCCACGCCTCCACACTGCAGCCATGTTTTCAACAACACTGCAAGTGGCTGGTGCCCCACCACCACCACCAACATCAGCATGTCCAGCACAACGTGGAGGGCGCTGTCCTTCCAGAGCAGCCTCAACCCGCAGGCCGCCATCCGCACCATCACCATCCCGCTCCTCGCCAATGCAGCAGGCACCTACCAGGTCACAGTGATGCTGTACCGCCCACACCCAAACAACATCCCGAGCCCTGGCGACAGCCCTGATACCACCAAGGTTTTCAGCCTGGCGCTGCCAGCTGGCCCCAGCTGGCAGACCCTGGACATGTCCGCGCCGCAGTTCCAGCTGCTCCATGGCAAACGCTATGCGCTGGTGCTGACCGGCAACTCCGCGGGCGCGTCCACCTCGCCCACGTTCTTCAGCTGGGCCTCGTGCGCCAATGCCGTTGAGCCCACGGGCGTGCAGTTTGAGTATTACTCATTCTCGCAGTCTAACAACAGCGGCTCCACCTGGTGAGTCTTGACACCCTCACATCCTTTTCAGGCCCAGCGCTAGCTTGCAAGTGCGACGTGCGCCCTGGCCCAGCAGGCTGCCTTTGCGATGAAATGGACGTTCTCCTTCCCTCCAGGTCCACATCGCCCGTCCTCAACGCCATCTCGCTGACCACCTACCCCATCCCCAACGGCGGCGGCAACAGCGGGCGCCGCCTGCTGGCCGCAGAGGGCACAGACGCAGGTTCCATGCATCAGCCAGGCGCGATGCAGCAGCCAGCAGCGATACAGCAGCCAGCTCTGCGGCAGCCGGCGGCGCTGGCGCCAGTACCACCGCCGCCGCCGCCGCGGCCGCCTCGACGCCTGGCCCGCGGCGAGCTCAACGCCCTCATGCACGACGCCTTCAGGGCCGAGCACCAGCAGGCCCGGCGGCGCCGCGCGCTGCAGCAGGCCGCGGACGCGCCCAACAGCACCGGGGCGCTGCCGCCGCCGCTGCCGGGCACCACGCCGCCGCCGCCCGCCCCCGTGGCCCCGATCCTCGACTTTGCCTCCCTGTCCACCGTGGACGGTACCGGCGGCAGTATCTACGTTGTCACCACCACCGGCGTGGAGCTGAACAAGAGCGCCGCGGTGGTGAATGTGCTGCCTGCTGACCTGGCAGCACAGGTGGAGGGCATCGTGGGGCAGCTCAAGCAGGCCCTCACCTTCCAGACCTCCTCCACCAACATGGACGGCCTGTGGAACACGCTGTTCTGGATCGCGGTGGGGCTGGCGGGCACGCTGGCCGCGCACGCCGCCATCCGCGCGCTGATCATCTGGCGCAAGTGGCGCATGCGCATGTTCTTCGAGGTGCGGCTCCTGCTGTGTGTGTGTGGTGCTAGATGTCAGCAGCCTCTGAGAGTCCTTGACTTGTGGGCTGAGCCTCTCCATCGCTGTGCCTTGCTGCTGCAGTGGCCCCGGCCGGAGCTCTGGTTCATGTGGTGTGTGCTTCCCATCATCGCGGCCCAGGCAGCAAGTGAGTGCCATGCCGCCAGCAAATCATTGGTGCACCTGCATACTGCGGCGCTGTGTTGCGCATCCCGCGTGATGCTTGCTGCCAATGGCCTCACACCTTGTTTCTCCCGTGCCGTGCAGTGTTTGTGGTCGGCGACAGCAGCGCCGAGGTGGCAGTGGGTGTCATGTTTGGCATTGTGCTGCCCATGGCGCTTGTGGCCCTGTCCCTCTTTGTGGTCATCAAGCACCTGACCCTGGTGGTGAGCACGGCGGTACCCTCCTGATCGGATGCTGCTAAACTCATTCATGCCTCAAACTGCCCAGGACAAGATCCGCCCTTACCTCGCCCCCCGCCACCTGTTGCTGAGTCGCCGAGCTGGCTGCTGCCCCGCCCCGCCTGGCTGCAGCTGGGCATGCGCCGCGCCGCCTACTTTGTGCCCGACGAGGATGCTGAGAGGTTCCGGCGCAAGAAGGTGCAGAAGCTGACGCGGTCCGACAGCGGCAGCACACACGCGGAGAACGGGTCGCTCAACCCCTCCACCCGCGGCGGCACCGCCTTTGGCAACCTACCCTCCACCTCCGGCCTCGCCCGCGCCTCGCTGGGAGCCTCCTCCGATGTCTCCCGCTCCTCCGCCGCCGGCTCTGGCACGGGCGCCGAGCTGCTGCGCCCAGCGCCGGGCAGCGCCGACCCGACGCCGCCGCGCAGGCCGCTGGGCAAGCGCGTCAAGAAGTGGGTGATCCGCTACATTGTCAAGCCCGTCTTTGGCTTCGACCCCTCGCTCCAGGGCGAGTGGGTGCCGCCGCACGGCTACGATGTCAGGTGCGCATGGGCCGTGTTTCACACCTTTGGGTGTTTTTTGCCCACGGCACTGTGTCGTGCATGGCAGATGTGGTGCTCACCTGCTCGCCTGCTCCTGTTGCCCGCCTGCAGCTTTGTGGCGCGGTACGGCGTGCTGTTCGAGACGTCCCGCGGGCCAGAGGTGGAGTACAGGTGCGCCCAGCAGCAGTTCCTGTACCGCTCCTCTGCCCTCATGCGACACGTCCCGTGCAGCCCTCGAGCCCCGGTCGTGAGTGTTTCTTTCTTCCCTGCTGCAGGCCCGGCACGTTTGACTACGACCCCGCCACCGGCAAGTTTGACCGCGGCGAGATGGTTTCTCTGGCCAGCACCCGCCTGCTGAGGGCCAAGGAGGCGGCCCGGGTGAGTTGGAACAGCAGCTGCTGCTACTTGTGCAAGGCGCAGCCCTGGCAGGGCCTCCAGCGGGCATCCAAGCAGCAGCATGCGGGGACCTGCTGCCACATGCCGACCGCTCCCCTCTCATGCCTCGTGCCTCTTGCCCTGCCTCCTGTTGCAGACGCTGGGCGTCACCGTCCAGCTGCTGAAGCTGGTGCTGTTTGCCCAGCTGGCCTCCGTCTTTGGAAACAGCTCCAACATCAGCCCTCTGTGGCAGGTGCGCCGGCGGTGGCATGCTCCGGTTGTTGCTCATCGACTTGTGTGCATCCTGTGTGCGCCGGCTGCGCCTGCACTCACCCTCCCCGCCTGCCTGCCGCTCCTGCGCTGCAGGTGATCCCGCTGCTGGTGCTGATTGTGCTGTACTGGACCTACATGCGCCTGTTTGTGCCCATGGCTTCCTTCGTCGACATGGTCGGAGAGGTGCGTGTGGGGGGCCACACAGGGGGGACCTGACATGGCAGCCAGTGGTGTGCCACAATTACGCAACCAGCTGCATGCCCTCTGCGCCGGCCAGCGAGCCGTGCATGTGGTTGCCCTCTGGTGCTGAGCATGTGCATGCCCTGCTGCCCTGCAGATCGTCGGCTGCATCTGCGATGTGGGCACCTTTGTGTGCGGCATCATCGTGGCTGTGACTCCCGTCACAAGCTACCAGACCATGTGAGCTGCAGCCAGCTGCGTTGCGTCCCGCCGCGCCTGCTCCATGCGCCAGCACAGCCCGAAACCCAGTGGCTCACCCCCACTCCCCTGACCCCTGACCCCATGCTGCAGCAACGCCGTGGGCATCGCCATGCTGGGCTTCCAGACCGTGTCCATGCTGGTCACCCTGGTGCCGGGCGCCGTCAAGTTTGTGCTGCTGGCGGTGCGCTGGGTGTGGCGCAAGGCCTTCCCCGACCCCGCCGACAAGTTTGCCCGCGTGGTGGAGGAGGTGATGCGCAAGGATCCACACATCCTCTCCCGCAAGTTTGCCGACCGCTGGCTGCTCAAGTGAGTGCCCCGGTGGCTTCCGCTGCTGCTGCGTGTGTGCTGGCTGTGGGCGTGTGTTGCCACGCGCCAGCACCGCTGCTGAGCCGGGGTGCCACTGTCGCCATGCCTGCCCGCAGGGTGCACGGCCGCGGCCTCAACCAGCGCGCGCTGCAACAGTTCGAGAAGCAGCAGCAGCTGCTGCCGTTTGGCTTCAACATCAGGTGAGCGACGGCGGTGGGCTGGGCCGCAGCGTGTGCGCAGGCGCAGATGCCTTCCCTCGACCAGCGTGCAAGCCGGGAAAGCCTGTGGTTGTGACTTGTTGCCCCTACTGCCCTGTTCTGTGCAGGCCCGCCGGCCTGGTGCGCACCCTTGCCTTTGGCGGCGCCGGCAGCAACCGGCGGGAGGCCACGGCCGACGCGGCCGCGGCCGCCGTGGCCGAGGCGAGCGAGGCGGAGGAGGACAGCAGCACGCGGTCGCGCCTGCGCTCCGCCATGTCACTGGCTGCCGTGGCGGGCCGGTTCAAGATGACCCGCCAGGCGGCCCCCACCAAGGCTCGCAGCTCTCCGCTGCTTCCCGTGGCGAGCGCCGCCAGCCTGGCCAGCGCAGGCGGCAGCTGCCCGCCGACCCCCCGTCCCGCCAGCGTGGCGGGCAGCGCGCCGCCCGCCTCTGCCGCCGGCAGCATCCCGCCCACCCCCCGCGCCGGCAGCAGCGCGGCCACGCCACACTTTGGCAGCGTGGCGGGCAGCATGCCTCCCTCCCCCCGCTCCGCCCGAGGCTAGATGCCTCACCTACTATTGGGGATTAGTGCGGTTTTCCTGTTGCACCTGTTTTTTTGCATCCATTCATGGCAGCCCTGGCGGGCGACCCGACGCCCGCCGCCGCCACCAACACACGCTCACCCCTCCTGCTTTCACCATCAGCCTCTCTCGCAAACTCACGCTGAAACTCTCCTGCCTAAACCATCCAGCCCCCTTGCAATTCAACACCCTCCACTGCAATCCTGCTTGTCCCTGCTGCTCGCTCCTGCTCTTCTATTAATTCCTTTGCTCAAATGTGGAGAGATCCCACACTTTGACCCCGCCTCAGAGTGCCCTTTTCCTTTCTTGCTCCAAACTGTCTCTCCCCTGCACTGCTGCGGCCCTTCTTGTCATATCAGCAAGCTCACAGTTTTTCTTGGCTAGTGGCATGTAGCCCGCCAAACCTCGGGAAACAACATACCGATTGTAAACTGTCCCACAACAATGCAGTTTTACAGTACAGGCAAAGAGGAGTCGCGCCTGCCGCTTGGAGCAAACAGCGGCGCAGCGCGAGAAACAGGCGCGCCCGAGGCTGGAGACCACGCCGCACATTGTCAGCCCGTGGCATCAGACAAAAGCAGGGCATATAGCTTAGTATATATACCATCCATGGTAGTGTGGAAAAAGAAGGGAGCCTGCTGAGAAGGAAGGGTGCTGTGGACAAGAAGCTGTTGCAGTTCAGGAGGGGAGAGATGCGTCCGGTGCAGCTGAGACGGGGGTCCGCGCCCCGCCCCGCCCCGCCCCGCCCCGCGCTCACTCGCGCAGCTCCGCGCCGCGGTGGCCCCAGGTGGCCACAAACTGGGCGTACGCCCGCTTGTACCGCGCCCCCGCCTCGGTCTCCGCCGCGCGTATCGCGTTGAGCTCCGCCCAGGCCGCGCGCCGCGCCTCGTCCTCGGCACGCAGCGCCTCCTCCTCAGCAGACGCAGCCTTGGTGCCCACGTCGGGCAGCGGTTGCGGCGCCGACTGCGCCGCAGGCGGGGCGGGGCGGGGCGGGCAATCGCTTTGAGCGGCGAGGCGTGGTGCTAGCAACACACACCTTGCTCCGGCTGCTTGATGCAGCAGATGCCGGCCGGAGCGCAAGTCTGGCCGGCGTCGAGGCGCTGGCGCGCTCTCTTACCCCACAACACCAGGCCCGGTCCCCTGCCACCTGACCCCGCCCCACCCACCGAGCGGCTCAGCTGGGAGAACTTGAGGTTCTCTGGCACGCCCGTCTGCTCGGCGCCGCCGGACGACCTGCGCGGGTGCATGCGCCGGCGGGGTGGGCCTCGCGGGAGGGGGCAGGCGCCAGCTGGCCACAAAATCGTTCTGCCCTGCATGCCGGCCGCCGGCCGCCCCCGCCCGCATGCCGCCCAGGCCGAGGAGGGCGGTGTGCCCATGGCACACACCGCCGAGCTGCATGCAGCCCCGCGCACACCTGCCGTCAAACAGCGACGCAAAGCGCGCCTCGCGCTTCTCCACCTCTGCCCGCCGCGCCTTCTCCGCCGCCGCCGCCTCGGGGTCCTGCGGCGGCGCCACTACTTGCAGCAAATATGGCCCCTGCCGCAGAGCGCAGGCGCGGGCGGGGTAGGCAGGGGTGGGCGGGCAGGAGTGGGCGGGCGGGCGGGAGTGGGCGCGGTGGGCGGATGTGGCGCGAGTGGTGTGTGGGTGGTGGTGGCGTGGTGTGGGGCCACGTCGGATGATCCATGCGCCGACCACGGCAGCGGGTGGGCAGGTGCGCCAACAAGAGCGGCGGGTCCTGCAACCGCGGCGCTGCAGCGCCAGCTCCTGCCGCCGCCGCAGCTCCCTCCCTCACCTCCTTCTCAAGCTCATGCTCCTCCACCTGCACATCCGCCAGCCCATCCAGCGAGGCGGAAGGCAGGTTGAGCGTCTCTGGCGGCGCAGACGGCTGGTCGTAGAAGCTGGTCTGCAGGGCGGGGAGGGGAGGGAGGGCAGGGGGGAGAAGCAGAAGGCGCAGGGCGGTCACTGGTTGGCACAGCGGTGCGGCCCGGCAGCGGTGTGAGGTGGGAGTCCAGCCACTCAGCGACGCACCTTTTTGGCCAGGCGATCCAGGAACTCTTCGTCGGGGTCTGCAGGGCAGGCGAGGGAATGAGAGGTGGGCGGCGGGCGGGCAGGGCCTGCACCCAGGCGGTCGGCGGCGGCAGACAGGAGTCCGGTTCGAGCACCCTGCGCGCGGCCTGGACTCTGCGGCCGCTTGTCAGCTCTGTGCGGGCCCCCGTCCAGGGGCGCACACACACGGCGCAGCAGCGCAAGGGCTCCCAAAAGGGATGTGCCGCGCACCCCCCCCCCCCAACCCCCCCGTGGTCACCCTTTTTTTTGGGGTTGGGGGCCCGAAGGCCCACAACTTTGGGGCCGCC